TTCCACACCCATTTGGAGCTGTATCTTGCAAAAAATGTTGCAACAAATGGTCTATAGCAATAGAAGACCATTGCATAAACCATTGGACTTGGTTACCAACAAGAAACAATGCTTTGAATGATGTAAAGAGTGCAGACATTGGACTAATAAGAACTGAGAAAGGTGATGCAGTCCAGTGTATCACGCTTTATCCTTTTTTGCTCAGGTGGTAGAAGACTGATTTGGATGAAGCCACAAGAATAACTCTCCTCTCTTGTGTGGTCCTAACTGTCCAGATCTCTGGTGGTGGAGTCATGGTTTTTGGCATGTTTTCCTGGCATACCTTGGATTACTTGGTTCCTTTAGAAGACAGAATGAATACTACAACTTATCTTAGCATCATGTCTGATAAAGTGCATCCAGTGATGCTTGATGTTTACCCTGATGGGGACAACTACTTCCAAGATGATAATGCTTCCATCCACCCTGCCCATATTGTGCATGCCTTGTTTGAAATTTCAGCTTCTTTTTGTTCATGGTATATGGATGCTGGTTAATTTACTTAATTTGGGCCAAAATGTACTGTTATTTTCACTTTCAAAGCTGTCAACTGTTTGCATTTTGGTCGTCATTGTGCAGGAGAGAACATGTGGCTAATGAATATACATAATGATATAAGAGCCCAATATTATGCATCTTCTTTATATTTCTAGGTGTGTTTGGAAGAGAGAGAATGCTAAATTAAGTTCAGTAACATCTATTTTCTTGTTTAGTTCACTGTTAAAATTATGGTGTTCTGAAACTTTCTACTAAGACATGTGATTGAAGTTTTGTTAGAGGTTTATGTGGATTTAAAAATGTGTAAATACAGGATTAATAGATATGTGAATCTTACCTATCTAAATTTGTTTTCTTTGTTTTACTCACAGTGATGGAGTAGCCAGGGTTTTCACACAGAATCCTAGCTTACAGGCCTCAAAAGAAGAATTAAAAGCTTTTGAAGAAGAATTATCAAAAGCTGCACTGCCAGCAGGAGAAATTGGTGATCTTAAAATTAATGAGTTGCCAGGAAAAGAAGTTCTTTTGGAACCAGGTAAATATGTGTATTTAAGGTTCATGTGATACTACAAAGCTTTGGAGATGTGTATGATGTAATATTTGATTGGGGATTCTTCAGGTACTAAGCAAAACAAATGTAAATAAAAGAGGCAGGCATTGCCAGGAAAACATTAGCTAAATGGCAGAGGTTTTTTGTAATATCTGTATTATGAGCAAATGAGAAAAGTTCTTTTTTTTTTTCAGACTGCTTTTTCACTTATTCTGTTTAATTTCTAATACACTTTAATGGTGGTATGATTCATTTATGCATTTGTGGTTTTAAAGTTCTAAAATAACTCTTAATTTTTCATCTGAATCCTGGAAATATTTGTATAAGTGTTCTTTTTGTCAGAAATAGAAAAGCTTTAACTAAAAGAAAAGAGGATTTTGATCAACATTATTTGCTGATAGTTCTATAATTTCTAGTTTTATGACTTGTGAGAACAATGCAGTGTAAAACAGTTTATTTTGATAGAGAAAAATATTACCATTATGAAAACTGATTTTCTCATGTAATTTTGATTGATAACTTTGTACATAAGTTTCTTTACACGGAAAGCTATTTTCTCTGTGCTTGTGCCTTGTAGATTTGTATGTTACTAGCCTTTAGGCAACTCCCACCTAAACTCATGAGATTTCTCATGACTTACACTACTGTATAATGATGTTATTATGCAGCAAAGCCCTCCAACAGTAGGAAGATGACACAACCTCCCTGTGCACTAGCTTCCTCTATACTTTTGCACTCATGACCTTCATTCTATTTCTTGGCACTGAATATATCAGACATCTTTCTCCTTTGTCAGTTTAATGAGAATTGTGATATTTAAGGAACTTTCTTTTTTTTCTTAAAACTATGAACACTAGTTTGTGTAACATCTTCTACTGCTTGTGTGAGTGCCTAATATCCTCACACAGATTGTGTAACAGTTATGGCTCATGGAGGCACGTTCCCTGGGATTGATATGGCGGACATTCAGATTAGGGTTGTGAGTTCCCTCATGCTTACAAACTTTCAGTTCCAGTTTCTTCTTCAGACATTCCATCCCCTTGTTAGTTGGGTGAATGAGGAGGACGAATTTGATTCTTCCTTCACCTAAGCTTTGGGAACTCCTTTTCCTGTTGAAGAAAAACTTCAACTTTCTCAAATTCTTAGGCCTTAATTTCTCAGGTATGCACCATTCTTTTTCATTTTACTCCTAACTCTAACTTGTTTCATTTGCCATTCCTGGACTGCTTATGTTTTTGCGACATCAAGCCTTGTCATCCTGTTTATCTGATTCATATTTTCTTGTTTTTTTTATCCTTCTGTATCCCCTTAAACAATTCTCACATTTGGGATTGCCCTTGCCTGTTTGAAAGGGGGGGGGACTGTTGACATTGATTTCAACCTCCAGTACTCAATACTTTTGTCTTTGCCTGATTTCTTTTACCACATCTTTACTTCTCCTCTCCACACCTCAAGTCTAAGGCACTCCACTGTACCCCCAGAGAATTTTGCAAGTTATTCTTATTCCATTCTCTTCTACAATTCCATGCTCACTTGCCTCTTTTTTTATTGGGGATTGTTGGATAATGATGCTTTCCTATCCCAAGTTCAACTTCTTTCTTCCCTTGTACAAGTCTAACCCTTTTCTTTACTCTGAAGTTTGGAAGTATTCTTGGGCTGAAGCTGTCTGTCATCAATCCTTGCTTTCGTAGTTGTTTCCACATTCTCCACCATTGTACCTCATCTTAGCTATGGAACTTATATTCATTAGGATTTGCATTCTGCATGTGAAGTTTAGTGTTTGGAGACCATGGCTTCATAGGGACTGCTTATCCTGTTGGGTCACGCACACACATGCAGCTCCTCCATTGGTCCTTGTGTGCCCAGTGAGATGCCTCTCAGGATTCTCTGACCTCGATGGTCCCCCTGTTCCATTCTCTATTCTAGTGTTTGCACGGGTGGCTGGACCAATCTAGTATTACCAGCTGTGTTCAATTACCTCTTCCCACATTGATCTTACACCTCTTCACCTATGCTTCCCTAAATGACAGTTGTACATGTTACACGTGTATCCAAGATGAGTCCACTTCCCATATCCGTGTGCTCGAACTTCCTGTAAACTGTCAGATATGATATCATTATTATCACTCCTAGTAGATCATTTTGTTATGCTCCATTCTGACAGCTCCTTGGTTTTTTTCCTAAATTAACTACCATGGGGTATCTAATCCAAAACTTCTTGCTTTCAGTCCCTGGCTCTTCTTTATTGGGTCAATTCACAATGGGCTGGTTTCCTCACCTGCAATATAGCGAGTACTATGAACTGGGTTACAGACCACCTTTTTTGGCCATACCATGTTCTCCCTCAGTTTCCCTTGGAGGAGCTTTCTTGGGGACTGCACTCATCGCTGCCAAGCCAACCCTTTCATTTTCATGCTTCTTCTCTTCTGATCATCTGTTCTCAATCTCTTGGCTCTGGCTATCTCTTCCTTCTGCTAGGTCTGGTCTTATACTTGTCATAATAATCACCCACATTTCAGGCCTTTATCTCAGGTTCTGGCCTTGACTAGAGACACTCTTTGTTGTGTTGTCTTAGTGGTACCCCTCTGGCTGGCTTACCCTTAGTTCCCTTTTCTATGCTACCTGACAACTCAACTCCCTCTTTCCTTGTCTATTATACACACTATTGCTTCAACATCTCCTGCCTCCTTTCCATCATGAGATCTTGTCCTTCAACCTTCACATTTGGATTAGTCCAGTCCATTACCTATTGAACCAGACTTTCCCATTTGGTAATCCTTTCTTTTCCTAGTCCAGACATTGTTCTTCCTAATCCTTCTTCCTGCATTGGGGATGTGGCTTTTGATGTTGGTCCCCCTGATCTTACTTCTCACAGACATTTGCCTTTTCTTTACCAGGCTGTTGAACAGGGTTCAGCTGACTCTACCTTTGCCAGTTATTAGAGGGCCTGGCTTTCACCATTTCACATTTCTCGATACCACAAGATGTTTCCTCCCTAATTCTCTCCACCATGTTCTGGTCCTTCCTTATCCATAGACACACTTGCCCTATTCCCATGCCTGACTGGGACCTCAGTGTCATCCTGCACACTCTTACCCACGCCCTGTTGAGCCACTGGCAACCTTAAACTTCTACCATATTATCTTCAGACATATTCCTTTTACTTCTTGCTTGGGATTACTGTCGTGCAGACCTTTATGCCAGTAACTCATTCCGTGTTCTTTCCATCGTCCTTATTTTCTTATTTCTCCAGACTGGTTCTTCCTCCCTCAGTCTTCAGCCACTTGGGGAGGAGACTTTTACCCTTCTTCTCTCTCCTTTCCTTCTATTTCACTCTTCTATGATCGATCAGATCCGAACAGACTTTTATGCCTTGTTCATTGCTACTTAACTAAATACTGCTCACTTTCAGGGTTTTCATCTTCTAATTTACATTCCATGGGATTCATCTTCTTCCAGGGATAAATCTTCTACATTTATAGGTTCCACCAAATTATTTGTTTGGCATACTTCTCATAGGAAATTGTTGCTCGCAGATGGTTTGCATTTCATCTCTCTCATTCTCTCACTGGTCATTTCCAACAGCTATTGGATGAGATCCTTCCAGCTGGCATGTGACTACCTAGCATAAAACTTTATCATCCACTCTCTTCACCATCTGGCTTTCTCATCTCCTGAAGGTCACTGCCTGCCTGCATTTTCTGTCCTACAGTCTATCCACCATCTTTAGGCAGGTGAGTACATTCCCCTTTGGTTTATTGCATTTGCTTACTGTATCCCACCAAGTGGCTGGGGGTGCATCCCAGGGTACACTTATTTCCCAAAATTCTGAATCAAGCCAGGATAACAGAAAGTGCTCATACCATCTGCCTTTGCTCCATATATGCCCACTGTTGAGATGGGGTGTTCCACAAGGCAACTTGAGGTATCCATGTGATATATATGATATCTGTCTACTGTCCAGTCCATACTGTGCTCAGTTTGCTTCCCTGGCTTGTGCTTACTGGCTTTTCAAAATAAGTTTATACAGTCACCCACTGCACTGTTTCCAGTAAAATACCTTTCTGACTGAAATAGGACCAATGGGGATTCAAAAACAATTATCTCCACCCCCCCTTTCGAGTGGAGCGAGGGTGATTCTTACCATTTACCTTTTCCTAGCTGCTTGGTTGGTGGACCATGGAGAACCCTCACTTA